TTTATAAGAAGGCAGATTGATGAAGGTAAAATGTGTGGTATGGTACTTTTAGACCTCCAGAAAGCTTTTGACACAGTAAAACATTCAATAATCTTAGATAAATAAAGTGTCATGGGTTTTTCAAGTAAAGTGATAGCCTGGTTGAATTCTTATTTAACTGGGAGAGTTCAGAGTGTAGAAATTGATGGGGTTCTTTCTGAGGATACTTTTGTTAAAAATAGAGTCCCTCAGGGAAGTGTGAAGTGTTTTAGGCCCTCTTTTGTTTTGTTTTTATATATTAATGACATGCAAGCAGTTTGTGATTGTAATTTGTTTTTATATGCTGATGATTCTGCTTTAATAATTTCAGATAAGGATGTTGGTAGGATACAAGTGCATTTAGGTAAGGAGCTTTGTAAGGTAAGAGACTGGATCTCTGAAAACAAACTGATGTTGCATTTAGGTAAAACGGAATCCATATTTTGGTCTAAAAAGAATTTGAATAAGGTTTCTAAGATGTCTGTTAATGTGGGGGATTGTTTAATATCAAATAGAACTTCTGTTAATTATCTTGGATGTGTCCTTGATATAAGTGCTGTAATATGGCTATGAAAGTTCTGGGTAAGGTTAATGTTAGGACAAAATTTCTTGTCAGACATGTTAGTTTTCTTGATAAACAGAATATAAAATCACTTGCATCATGTTTAGTACTATGTCATTTCGAATATGCATGTATTTCTTGGATGTCTGATTTGTCTCGTGGTTGGTTGGATAAGTTACAAAAATCTCAGAATAAATTAATAAGGTTAGTTTCAGGGTTTAGTCGTTTTACACCTGATTGGTTACCTATAGAAAGCAGACTAGAACATATTAAATAAAAAATGGTACATAAGATTATCAATAATAGAGCTCCTTCATATTTGAATGTATTTGTTTCTAGGGTAAATGAGCATCATTGTTATAAAACTAGGCAAAGTCTTATATTACATTATGTCGTTTTAAAACTATGTATGGTGGTAGGTCTTTTAGATATTCAGGGGCACTTTTGTGGAATAAGTTACCTCTGGACATTAAAGGTATTTCAAAAAAAGTTTTATTTTAAAAAACAAAAATTTGTTTTTTTAAGTAGGTTGTTTTGTTGATGAATTTGTATTACGTACGTGGTTATTTGTGACATTTTTGTAAATGTGGAATTTTATTGTAATTTTTGTATTTATAATGCAGAGCCAGTGTACCTGTTACCGGGAGTAAAGTTTATGCTTTACATCAAGGACCACAATGGAAATAAGTTTTGTTTTAAACTTTGTGTTATGTTTGACGAATAGAGTGTATTCACTTCTTTTTTGTCAAATAAACAAACATAAATAAATGTTGAAAACAGTTTTGCTGCTTAATATTTTGTATAAACTGTGATGCTTTTTTTCTTACTTAAAAAAAAAAAAAAATCAAAACAACTTTTATTTAAAACAGAAATGTATTTGTTTCTAGGGTAAATGAGCATCATTGTTATAAAACTAGGCAAAGTCTTATATTACATTATGTCGTTTTAAAACTATGTATGGTGGTAGGTCTTTTAGATATTCAGGGGCACTTTTGTGGAATAAGTTACCTCTGGACATTAAAGGTATTTAAAAAAAAGTTTTATTTTAAAAACCAAAAATTAGTTTTTTTAAGTAGGTTGTTTTGTTGATGAATTTGTATTACGTACGTGGTTATTTGTGACATTTTTGTAAATGTGGAATTTTATTGTAATTTTTGTATTTATAATGCAGAGCCAGTGTACCTGTTACCGGGAGTAAAGTTTATGCTTTACATCAAGGACCACAATGGAAATAAGTTTTGTTTTAAACTCTGTGTTATGTTTGACGAATATTCACTTCTTTTTTGTCAAATAAACAAACATAAATAAATGTTGAAAACAGTTTTGCTGCTTAATATTTTGTATAAACTGTGATGCTTTTTTTCTAAAAAAAAAAAAATCAAAACAACTTTTATTTAAAACAGAAATCCGTGAAAAATTCCTTGCGGAATTTAAGTATCAATTTCTTTAAAAAATAAAATCTTACTGACCTCACACTTTTGAAAGGTAGTTTGACGAATAGAGTGTATTCACTTCTTTTTTGTCAAATAAACAAACATAAATAAATGTTGAAAACAGTTTTGCTGCTTAATATTTTGTATAAACTGTGATGCTTTTTTTCTTACTTAAAAAAAAAAAAAAATCAAAACAACTTTTATTTAAAACAGAAATCCGTGAAAAATTCCTTGCGGAATTTAAGTATCAATTTCTTTAAAAAATAAAATCTTACTGACCTCACACTTTTGAAAGGTAGTGTATGTTTGTTTGTGTGTACGAGCATGTACCTGAGGATTTGCCTGGTGTAACAACATGGCTGCGTGTAACTCTGTTGGCTCCTGCCTGCTCTGCTGAAAAGGACAAGGAAGATGAGGAGGAAGAGGATGAAGAGGATTGCTGACTGTCTTCATCAACTTGTGCAACATTCAAATCTGGTGAAAGAAGTGAACACTTTATTTAGAATGCATATTATTATGATCATTTCCAATTCTATTCTAATGGTTGATTTTAGACGACCCCAATTTGGAAAGAAAATCCAGGTTCCCACTGGTAATTACGACATCTCCAACTCTCTTACACACCTTGAGAGGATTTCCGTGAGCGGGCCTTCGAAGACACCTGGGAAGTTTTCGTTCCTGATTTCTGTTTTCCTTTGGGGCTGCAGAAAGACGCAGGTTTAAAAAAAGGTAAAAATCAATGAAAAATCAATGTGCAATCTGTACCATGATTTGACAATGGGTGTACATGTTTTACCTGTTGGGATAGGAGCCCTGTAATCTCTTGCTGCAACTGAGTCTCTGTTGACTCCTACGCTGATTCTGAACTGCAGATTTGTAGTCTGAGATTATGGAAATGATCTGATTCTCAAAGAACGCTGACAGACTCAGAGTCATACTGAAGATCTAAACAACAAACAATATGAGAGTCATACTATGGATCAACTGTAAGGCCTAAACTACTCTACTATTTTAACTTAGTTGCATAATGGCAGACAAAACAAATTAGTCCAAGGAAGACTGCAAATCCATATTAAAAGGACAAAAATATACCATTTTAGTTACTATATTAAAAGTACAAGTTAACCGCAGAACATCATTAGAAACAAAAATGTCTATAAGCCATATACATTACTGTTCAAAGGTTTGGGGTCAGTAAAAGTATTTCTTTTAAATGTTATATTGTCTATTATGCTCACCAAGGCTGCATTTATTTGATAAAAAATACAGTAAAACAGTAATGTGTAATATTGTTACAACTAAAAATACATTTCTCTATCTTAATATATTTTTAAATGTCATTTTTTTCCAGTGATAGCAAAGCTTAATTTTCAGCAGCTATTACTCCAGTCTTCAGTGTCACATGACCCTTCAGAAATCATTCTAATATGCTGATTTGGTGCACAAGAAATATTTCTTATTATCAATGTTTAAAACAATAGTGTTGCTTAAAAGTTATATTTATTTGAAAAAAATATTTTGTAACAAAGTCCTTGCCACTTTTGATCAATTGAATGTGTTCTTGCTGAATAAAAGTATTAATTTATAATAAAAAAAAAACGTAGTTATAAGACTTTATGCACCGTTACTTCCTGGTTTTAGATAAGCAAGCTCAGTCATTTCCAGTGAACTGTCAAAATCAGCTGTGCTATAAGGGGAGTGCCCTTTGCTCTGTGTTTCTACATAATCCATTCATAATTTGAAGAAAAGTTTTTTGTTTTTTTGTGTCTAAAAGGACCAAACATCTACGTATACGATTTCAGGAATGACAAAAGCAAGAGTAAAAAAAAATGACACGAGTGAATTCATTAAATTGTGCCGCGAGTCATTGCTATGATTGACAGTGATAACTGTAGCAGTGGACGAAACAACTATCTGACAAGCCGATTTCAAAATAGAGCTGTGCTTTAAGTGATTCAGGGTAAATTCAGAGTAACAAAACTACAGCAGCAACAAGTCTGTGTTGCCTGAATATATTTAGCAGCTTCTACAGTTAAAGATAGACTTTGTGACTTCCTGCACTTGCTATATTTTATACTAAAGTACAGTAAAAGTACTAAAATGTGTTACAATAGTCATTTTATAATAAATCCAACAGCAAGATGTGAAAAAAAAACTAGGGAGTTGAAATGCAACTGAGCTAATGAGTGATCCTCTTCTGCCATCTACTGGTTGTAATTTCATGTCGTTTTCATCTTAAAGGTTTTTATTTTCCGCCAGGAGTCACATTTTTGGCAAATGATTCCATGTCATCTTCATGAATGAAAAGTGAATCTTTAAAGTTAATTTTACTGCACAATTTAACAAATCTCACTCCAGCCAGGCAACCAAAGTTGGCAACCCTGTGTACATTAGTGCTGTGTTCAAAATATCGATACGACGATGTATCGTCACAGAGATTTGACGATACGAGTATCGATACAGCTGGCCCTGTATCGATATTGTGGCACGTGTGCAGCAGTGGACTGCGCTTAATTTGTTTAAAACTTTACAACGTTTAAAATTGAGTAGAAAAGTGCGAGGTTTCTAAAAAAGAATGAATAGAGCATATATAGGCTACAACAAGGTTTAATCTGGCCGCAGAGGAACACAATGGGGTTGCCTGATATAAAGAGACGTAATCTCCAAAACAGAGCTTCACACTTGCACAATATGGAAATATCTGCTAATTGTGCTACTTATCTGTCAACCTGGCAACCCTGTGCACACGCGCTCTCTCTCCACTGAGGATAAACGCGCTTGCTTTCTGAACAGCGGTTAGCTTGCAGTTTAGCGAACTCCACTTCAATAATCTATTCTCAGAAAAGTGTAATTCATCAACTGTTCATTTACGACACACAAGAGAGCGAGAGATAGAGAGAGAGAGGCTATGTATGTATGAATTACCACCGTTTTGCCGCGTTTCTCTATTAACAGTGGAGCTGTGGCTTTAATTCCTTTAGAAACAATGATGTTACCAGCTCCTTGTTGAGAAAGATAATGTAGCTCTTGAGCGATTAAGCTATTTAGTTGATAAAACTGCGGGGCAGCACTAAAAAGTTTGTTCCTGAATGTCTGAGTGAGGCCGCAGCGTGATCTGTGTGTGTGACTGCACTTTACATCAAACTGCTTCTGTTTCACACAAATGCTGGCACAGACGTGCACGTTCGGCTAGAGTCGCTTTGAACTCGTGCATCTTCGGAAGCGTAGCTGCGCAGAAAGTTACAAAAAATGTTGTGCACACCACCACGCGAAACGATGTCGAAGCGAACTTGCGGACGCGTCGAGTATAAATCAGCCTTAAATCAGCCTTGAGAGTGTGTGCGTTATATACAGTGAAGACAGCACCTTAGTTTAGAACTCTTCTAATCTTTTTTTTAATTGTAGAGAGTGTGTTAATTTGTGCAATGATAACCTACCAGCAATGTAAATTATTTTTTAAATATATTAGAATGAGTACATTACAATATAAATTGATTAGAACAAGTACATTATTATTTATGGGCTTAAAAACAAGATGCAAACAATCAGGATATTGTACCTGGTGGGGAGTGCACAATGTAAACATGAAACATATGCCATTATTGTACTGTGGTAATTCATAATGCAGAGGTCAGCTGCCTGCTCTGCCAATAGTTAGAAATGGCACTATAGTGTGCAGTGTTTAATAAACAGCTGTTTTTCTAAATTCTGCTGAGGTGAAATTCAGTGCAGCCCTGTATTGTGATACTTATCGTATCGTGGCCTATGTATCGTGATACGTATCGTATTGTGACTTTGCTGGTGATACACAGCCCTAGTGTACATATCCAGTTAATTTAATGACTATGAAGGTAAGTTATCGATTATCAAGAAAATCATTATCATGTCGTTTACGAGACAGCATTGCTAGCTAGCTAACGTTAGCTTAAACCGTTACGATAGTGTTTAGTTGTTAGTATTTAAATGTACAATTATATGTCTAGGTACTCTCCTGGAATTACCAGGTTCAGCATATTGAGTCCACATCCACAATATCCTACAGAGCAAACAAGAGAAAATGAATAGTTCATCTGCTTCATTCACGGGGTGTCCAATTCTGCTCCTGGAGGGCCGACGTCCTGCAGAGGTTTAGCACCAACCAGCTCCAACACAGTTGCCTGGAAGTATCTAGTGAGTCTGAATACCTTGATTAGCTGATTCAAGTAGGTTTAATTAGGGTTGGAGCTAAAGTCTGCAGGAAAGTGGCCCTTCAGGAACAGGTCTGGAACCCCTCGCTTAATACTAAAATATATACAGCAGGCTGTAGCTGGCCCAAACGGAGCAGTGGGCCAAAAAAGTAAACCAGAGGGATCGTAACTGATATGAATGTGTAAGTGACTGCATTTTCTCTGACCTGATGAAACGCAGCAGGACGCTGCTGACTGTTTTGGCTGCCTTGACGATGGGGGTCTGGGGTTCATTAAATGTTCGAGCGTTGTGTTCAATGTAACGCACCTCCCACATAAGTGCTGAGATCCGCCTACACATACAGAGACATGTGAGAGAACTCCAACACTTGTAATTGTGAATGCCTAGAG